AAATATAACATTATTTATATTAATATTATATAACATTAATCATATTTACCAATCGAGCTGCAAGATTATTGCGCGTTCTCTGCCCTTCATTAAATATGGCTCGACCTTCCGGTATTGGTTGTATTTCAAAATTATTTACATCATCTTCCATAGCCATAATTGCCTCTTCAGGTTCTGGAGGAAGAGGTATTTTTGCACGTATGCACATATTGTGCAACACTGTGCAGGCATTAATAATTTGACCTGCTTTCTGTGGTGTATATTCTAATGTACGATATCTAAGGAGACATCGGAATCGTTTTTTCATAACGCCAATACAACGTTCTACAGTATTTCGCATGGTACTGTGTCTTTGATTAAAATATTTTTCCTGTGTACCTGACTGTACTTCAGGATACGGAGTCAGCAGCCACGGTTCTAATGGATATCCAGAATCTCCTTAAAAAATGAAAGAAAAATGTTCACATTAGTTCAATAATTTTAATTACATAAATCAGAACGTTTGTTTTACATTTTATTAATTCAATTAAATATTTCAATAATTTAAATTATTAATTACCAAATAGCCAACAATGATTATTATTTGCATGTTGCATTTGCAGAAGGTGTCTCACATATGAATTTCTCCATACAAAGGAGTCGTGCGTCGAGCCTGGATATCTTGCTAGTATATTCAGAATATACATATCTGTATCGCATATCTAATAAAAATATATAATTATATATATATATTTTTTTAATAAAATTTTATATAATAATTTTTTTAATAAAATTTTATATAATTTTTATATAATAATATACATAAATATTATATAATATTATAAAAGTACATCTACGTTACAAAATAGAATTTCTTACAATTTGCACATGTTGTGCATGATATCCTTTTCTATTAACATATAATCCTTCATGGTCAACAGGTACTTTAATAGCAATATTTGTACCATCTACAAAACCAATTAAGCCTGGAATTGTAGTGTTATTATAATTTCTGAAATATAATAAAATTTTTTCTCTTTTTATTTACAGACATCATATGTAAATGCAGATGACAATGTAGATGATAATGAAGAAAACTATCAAGTTAATTATGAAGATGAAAATATTAAACATATATCCCACACAGCACAAAACATCCTATTACAGGTAATCCTCAGGACATTGAGATATCCTTAAGATGTCATAGGATGTTTTGTGCTGTGTAGGATCATATATTACGCCATTTACATATATTTAACAAGTTATTATGTTCTTCTAATATTAAAATATTTTATATGTATGTATTCTTTCAAAACATTTATTATAAAGTTTGTAAGTTTCTAGTAATAAAAGAAATATAATATTAATATAAATATTTTTATTTATTATAATTCTAAGTAAACATAGAGTTACACAACTTGTTATTGTTAATATATACCTTTAAACAATTTGCTGTATCTCTTGCAGTGTTGTTGGGAAACGTATCCATTGTCTTAGAAGATAATTATTGATGGCACTCGTTATTTCTTGTAAGATTACACTTACAGTAGGTTGGGCTATACTAAGGCACTAGATATGTAGGTATTCTCATCCGCCATTTTGGTTCCTACTAGATGGAGAATTATAGCGTATATAGTATAGTATAGCGTACATGTGTAACACGTCAATTATTAAAAATGATTCAGGACTTTTTTCGACTCATTTTTTGGCAAGGAATAACGCTATGTACTTAGTGGGCAGTCTTTAAGTGTCACCCTGTATACGCTATAATTCTCTATCTAATAGGAACCAAAATGGCGGATGAGAATACTTACATATCTAGTGCCTTAGCTATACTCAACCTACTATCCACACCGACAGCTTTCTGATAACTACCTTGAGCATAGAAATTCAGGGCACACAGTACCTGTTTGAATTAATAAAAATTATATATAATACAATAATCTCTTATTAAAAAATAATGAAAAAATAAATTAAAAGATAATGAAATAATACTTTTTTAATTGTTTATATTTTAGACATTATTGACGACTTGGCAAAAAATATATGTAAAATTTTAATACTGTTTTCTAAAAAGCTACAAATAAGTATATTTTAGTAATAAATAATGAGATTTTAATTACATTCATATTTATTATACATAATTAAACAAATTTCTCTACTCTTAACTACATAGAGTGCGTTTCGTTTTATGCATGATGCACATGATATATTATTTTATCCTTGTTGTTCATCGAATGTTAAACAAGAATAAAATGATACATAATGCGTATCATGCATAAAACTGAACATATCCATAAGTGTTTTATGAATCTACTGATAATCTATTGATAAAATCTATTGATAAAATATAGAATCTATTGATAAAATTATTCCTTTTCAACTGCTATTTTAATGCTATACATATTATCTTTACCTTCAATTCATTTGGAATACCCAGAGCTCTCCTTCGTGGAGAAAGATATGGTTCCAACGTTTCTACAAGAATTCTCGTCATGTTTCTTGTTAACCGATACATGCCCATAAATTCATTTTCAGGCAAAGCAAATGGATCAAGCATATCTCTAAGTCTTCTTCTCATTATTTGACTTGCATGAATTTCTGCGAGGCGCTGT